CGCCCACCCCGACCCCCGCCGCCGTCCGCGTGCGAGCACACCTGTGCGCCGCTCGACACAGTCCACGCATTTCCTTTCTGGACACCCATCAGCTCTTGTACTCCGATTTGTTTCTAGTCCGCGCACAGACCACCGCCCCGAGCTATGGTGTCCAACGCGCCGCTGCCTCCACCCGACGCGCAGCAGCCTCCGCTTTCCTGGGAGGGGGACAAGATGTATGTAGTCCTGTGACGGACAAGTTACATTATATGTGTACCAGATATTTATCACTGACATTATTGCCTCAGGTTCAATCTGTACATCCTCGACTACTGTAACAAGCGCGGGTATTCCGGCACCGCGCACGAGCTCCAACGAGAAGCTAGCATCGACCCCGGCTCAGTCCCGCCAATCGATGCGCGACAAGGGCTGCTATTCGAGTACGTATCTTTCTACGTTCGTTTGTCGCGACTTGGCACTTCCCCGGCGCGGACTCGGTGTGGTTATACTCGGAATAACTGTCTGTGGCGGCCCCCGGAGCTCTGGGAATATATTATGGGCATAAACTGGGCTCTGTGTGTCTGCGGCGCTGCTCGCTGGGCCGCGCGGCGGTGAGGCGCCTAGGACGGGCCCGGCGCTCGCACGCTCCCCGCACCGCGTTTCATCCCCTGTCCATGCGCGTTTTCGGGGGTGCAGGCGTGCGATATGCACCCCAGCTCAGCGCGAGCCCAGTCTCCAAAAACTGACGACAGTCGAGGGACGGGGAGTGGCATATCCTGCATTCTTGGGAGCCCCGACGTCGCATTAGTCTGTGACTGAACCTTGTCGGCCGGGTTCGATTAACAAGAACGAGCGACGCTGACGGCCCTTCTCCCAGGTGGTGGTCCGTCTTCTGGGTCCTGTTCCAGGCGAAAAATAACCAGAACGGGACGTCGTCGCAGGACGCGATGACTTACATTCATGTACGTCGAGTTCACTGGCTTCCATGCCTGTCTGTCGATTTAACGTTGATCTGTCCCGTTCACAGGCTCGCACGCGCGCCGGACCCGGTGCCCTCCCGCCAGGCGCCGCCGTTCCCGGTCCAAATCGCGCTTATCCCGTCGCCGCACAGCGCATGCCACCCGGTCCCGGCCAACCAACCATGAATGGCGGCGCACCTCCCCCGCCGTACTCAGTGGCCCCGATCGGTTCGCTTCCCGCCAGCGGCTTCCGTCCAGGGCAGCCGCCCGGTCAACCCGGCGCCGTGCCACCGGCGGGTCAGCCTGGACA